GACGAAAAATGGGTAATCTATTGCTTAAATGCTTATAACTCATGATCATACGATATCAAATATTTTGAAATAATTTGTACAAGATCATAATAAGCTTAGTCAGACAAAATTTTTGGTAACAAATTGTTGCTACTCGTTGTATACCTCTCGTGAACGCGATCTAATTAGGACCAAACTAAAACTTTTTCAAAAATTTGTTACTGAAATATTGGTATCTAAAGTTTCGTCTCGCTTTGACGGATGTTACTTGTCTAAATTTCTTCGAAGTAGACGCTCTCCAGCTCCAAAACAGACCCCACTTCCGTGTAGAAAAGCTAAGTAAAGTTAAAAAATAACGAAAGCAATTTTTGTATATCATTGTATAAATCTAGCAATGCTGATCTCAGAAACACCTATACTACTTACATGCACCTATACTACTTACATGCACTTCAAAACATGTCTAACATCTCTCCAAACTTTTCAGAATTTTTATGCTGATCTTTACTCCGACTCCCACCCAACTGTTGACAGTCTTACTAAGAAAGCCCTTCTTGAAGAAGCTGACACATTTGCTAAAGGATCCGTGCCAAACGAAGCTTTAAACAGCCCTTTTACCATTGAAGAGCTGAACGGTGCCATCAACAGTCTGAAGACTGGCAAAGCGTCATCCTTTGACCATGTCAGTAACGAGATGATCAAAAGCCTAAACGAGAACATGAAAAATCTACTTCTTAAACTTTTCAATCTCTGTTTGACCACAGGTGTGTATCTTTGGAGTAAAAGCGTGATAACGCCGTTACACAAGAAAGGCTGCATTAGAAATCCCGATAACTACAGAGCTATTGCAGTCTGCAGCTGCATTGGCAAGCTATTGTCAACAATGCTGCTATCGAGACTTGTCACACACCGGCAAACGACACATTCAGATCCGCCCAATCAAGCTGGATTCACCAAAGGGAGCCAATGTAATGATCACATTTTCACTCTGATATCGATCATTGAGAAGTACAAGAGAGTAAAGCAGAAGGTCTTTGCTATATTCATTGACCTTCGTAAAGCCTTTGACCTTGTATGTCGACAGGCCCTCCTATTCAAACTATCATGTTATGGTGTTAATGGTGGGTTCTACAACATCATCAAAGACATGTACAGCAAGTCGGAAGGACATATAAAGATCAATGGCAAAATCAGTGAAGCCTTCAGTATCCTGAAAGGGACAGAGCAAGGTCACCCTCTTAGTCCAGAATTGTTCAAGGTGTACTTCAAAGAGCTCTCTGATCTCCTCAACGAAGCCCTAGCCAACTGCCCCATGCTTGCAGGACTTTCAGTAACTCATCTAGCCTGGGCTGATGATTTAGTTATTCTTGCCCTTGACCAAGAATCGCTGCAAAAGCTAATCACGATCATCACGACGTACTGCGATAACTGGGGACTGGAAATCAATATATCCAAAACCAAGTTTATGGTTTTCAACAGTAAAGCTCCGGATACCCCTAGTTGGCGTCCCAAAGCACATGGCAACGACATCGAGATGGTCTCCCACTACTGCTATCTTGGCATTCTTATCAGTAGCAATGGTAAATTCCGACAAGCCACTGATTCTCTTTACCGCAAAGGGCTCGGAGCATATTTCAGCCTCAGAAGCACAATCGATCGCAGATTTGTTGACGCCTCATGCTTCCACAAGCTTTTCAACTCACTGGTTAAGCCCATCTTACTGTACGGCTGCCAAGTCTGGGCACCCACTCTTCCAGAGGTAACAAAAGTTCTTTCGTGCCTCATGAGGGATCAAAACTTGAACAACTCAATGACCCACATGGCAAAGCAACAAATCGAGCAGGTTCACCTCCGTCACCTGAAGTTCCTCCTTGGGATAAACAGACGGGCTACCAATGCAACTGCATGGGGTGAGACAGGTTCGTACCCACTACTGATCGAAGTATTAAAACTAAGTGTCAAATACTTCAAAAGGATAATGGGTCTTCCATCGTCTCAACTGGTGAAGGCTGCTATGACTGAGCAAATAAACTTGCATCTTTCGTGGTACTCTGGAATAGAAAACATCATCAAGTGCTTCAACAACATTGATCCTAGAACATATGCAAGGAACTCTTCGCTTCTACTCAACGCAACTGCGTTTGCAGACGCTTGCAGTCCAGACGAGCTGGTAAATAACTTTCAAAAGCTTTTTACAGACTCCTGGAGATCAAAGATTAACGAGAGCAGGAAACTCACTTTCTACAAGGACGTCAAAACAGTCTTTGCATGGGAGCCTTACCTCGATTATGCAAGAACTCTCAATGACAGAAGATCAACAGCTCAAATAAGGTGCAGTTCTCACAGACTCAGCATAGAAATTGGGAGATACGACAAAACACCTCTAGAGAGCAGAACTTGCACCTTTTGTGAACTGAAAGGATCAACCGGGATCATAGAGGATGAAACACACTTTCTCACTTCCTGCCCACAAGGGAAGGCTATCAGAGACAAGTTTACCAGAGCTAGTGAAAGCTTGGGAAACAGCAATGACAACGGACTGAACAACATTGTCAACACTCTCTCTCGTACCGAAGATCTTTACGGTAACCTTAACGAGCAGGATGTGAACTTGATTAGACTTTCATGCTCAACCATCAGAGAAATGTACAGTCTGAACCTCAAGCACAAAGACAGCCTTCGTGATGAAGATGGAAAGTAGTCCTTCAGCCAGCTCTCTTCTGCTTTTCTCGTTCTTTCTTTCCTTCTCCTTCTGCTTTGGATCTGTGACGGATGCTATGAGCGACTCTTGGGACTTTCCGTCCCTACATGGGCTTCCGGCCGTGCGTCCATGTAGGAACTGTGGGGCCTTCAGAGTGATAGGGTTACAATGGTTGTTAGTACAGCAATGGATCGCTCCATTGGCCCGACCTCCGAGACGGGGTATCCGAGAGGACCCTGGTCGTGACCAGCTCTGCACCAAAAGGTGTATTCTGGCGCCTGAAATCTTGGACCGTAGTCTGCGTACGGGGTAGACTGCCACGGACGATTTTGTTACACGGGCCGCTCACTGCATTCTGATTTTAGCCAGACCTCAGCAGGTGGTTTGTCTCCACTCTTGTTTCTTTTTTCTTGTCCCCCTGCATCCTTTCCTTCTCCTTTGCTTCCCCCCTTTCAGTCTTCATTTTCAGTATCAGCCTCATCAGTCTCATCAGTTTTAGTCTTCAGAGCCACTTGCTCCTACGACCGCACCTTACTGGCTCACTGCATTTGGCATTTTAATTTTCCTTTTTTTTAACTTGCTTACTGTGCATTTCTTTTTTTGCCCTAGCGACTAGCGCGCGTTCGTGTTCCCGAGCATGCCATCTCAGAACACCTCGGGTACACTTGTTCGTCCAAGTACCTAGTGGTCGACACTTTGACAGTCATCACACTGTTCTGGATTATGGCACAGTTGACATGAAAACTTTTTCTTATCAGTCATTATCATGTCACCCATCACAACATTTTGAACTTCGATAGTACCTCACATGAATTTATCGACAGTTAACTCTCTTTCACTAAGACATTCTTAACTTTGTCACACAGTATCACATTTTCATTAGACACCTACATTTTGAGAATCATTTAATTTTTGATTGGAACTTAACCGAATTAAGACCTAGTGTGTGTGTTTGAGCGATTTGTACAACATTTCTGTAATGTTTCAAATTATATTCAAATGTTCTAAAAAAAAAAATGTTCTTCGAAAAATTAAAGTAAAAGATTTTTTCTTGCACAATTTACCAAAACTTTTCAAAACAATTTTAAAAGAGAGAAAGTTGAATCAAATATATTGTTTGGTATGACTGTATTGGATTTTCAGATATAATCTTTATCATCAGATACTGTTCTGCAGTAAACCTCTTCAATCAATTTTTATTGTATATTGGAAACTTCAGATTGTTTGTATATTTGGAGTCTTTACAATTTCTATGGATTTTTTAAGGAATTTTTATTGAGTTTTTATAGAATTTTTAATATATCAGGGAATTTCATTTTTATAAACCTGATTTTTAAATTTGTTAGGCTGTTGAGTTTCATACTGCGATTTCTTGTAGTCATTATCCTTTCCTCTAGTCCTCTGTTAGAAAACCTGCTAACCCTTCTTGGATATCTGCTTGTTAGGTGCATCTGCCTTATTTAGTCACGTTATATTTTACAGTTTTTATCGCCTGTTTTCTGAACAGTTTCTTGTTCCACCTCCGTCTAAGGCAAAGGTGCACACTCTCGTTAATTTAAGTATCATTTACAGCTGTGCATAAGGGTTAAATTTAAATTATTTAACCTTTTGATGCTGTATAAAAATAACATTAATTTATTATTATTATTATTAATACTAGTGTAACCCGGCCTTCGGCCGGGATTTCACTGCCACAGTTAAAAAGGGTAGGAGTAATTACCTGTTGAGTCAAAACCCGCATTTGGTGAGCAATTCTATTCGGAGTGCCCTCACGTCGTATCCAATGGTATCAAGTAAACAATAGAAATTAACCCTTAGCACCATGCACCACACCCGCCTATCATATTTGTGAACATGCATTACAATGTCGTATGAAAGTATGAACTCTCTCTACAGTCCAAACAGACCGTTTGAGCTCTCCCTCCCCTAATATACGCCATGTAATATATACGCTACATAATATTATGCAGAGAGAGCTAGCCCCGTAACTCTTGCCGTTCTGCTCAAGCCATTTTATGTAACATTTGTGGTATAAAACCGTCAATTAAACCACTTACCACCGACCGATTTAAAAAACCTTTTTCATTTAACTTCGTCAGAGTTTTGTCGGCACTTTACCGAAAAAATCAGCCCACGTAACTCTTACCGTTTTCTTGATTAAGCTGCTCGGAAATTACAAACAGACAGACAGAAAACACACATTCTGGGATTATTAGTTAGATATGATATTTCATCTTAAATAATTATAGTAATTATATTGCACCCACAAGTCACGAGGAGGTCATCTAGATTCTAACATGCAGTCATCTTTCTGTTTTAGCTATGTCGCACGCTGTTGTCAATCCAGACCGAGAGCAACTAGAGACTTGTCCCTATGATCCCTCCCATAGGGTCTCTCAGATGAGGTTACCGTATCATCTTATCAAGTGCCGAAAGAACCACAAAGACAAAGAGTTTTCTCAGTGCCCATACGACGCAAAGCATGTCATATTGAAGGCCCAATTTCAAGAACATCTACAGAATTGTGACAAGAAGGCCATAATTGAGCCTCAGCTGGTGATGGTTGAACGGAACTTTGGACTTCACCTCCCACCCTCGCAGGCCGTCGAGATCGAGGCTACTCTATCAAATGAGTGGGATTTAGAAATGCCTTCTACAGCATTCACCATCAACTCATCTCCAGAGAACGGAGAAAGGGTGGAGGAGCATCAGGTGGTCAATTCTTTCTCATCCAGTTCCAATACATGGTCTGCCATGGCACAAGGGACTGGAGGTGGGAAGGGTGGTTATAATAATGGGGTTTCTTATGATGGATACAGCAAAACTGTACCTGCCAGTTATGAGTCGATTGATCACCAGGATCAGTTGGAATATTCTCAACCAGTCCTACCAAGGAAGCCTCATTCCAGTAAAAAGAAAAAGAATGGGAGACCTGAAAGAGCTGAACCTCAAAGTTCGTCACTTCTTGTTGTTGAAACCTCGTCTAATGTTACCTCTGCAGCTGGGAAAGCACTTCGAAAACCATCTTCAAGCTCAAGTAAGTCTGCTTCAATCAACTCAACTGAATCGAACAAAACACCAAGATCTTACGGACGTGGTCGAGCTGCTACCATGCAGGCACAAGAAGGTTACCATGTCACTAACCAGAACACAGGACCAGGAAGCTATGTTGTCCAGTCTCCGCCGGAACATATAGACAGAAACAATCGTCAGCCAGATTCTTCATTTGGTAGAGGAAGAGGTGCAAGCTATTTGAATGCTGATCAACCAACTTTAAGAAAACCTGGAATGAGTGAGAAGGGGACCAAGGAAGTACTGGAAAAGGAGAGATTGAAGCTGATGAAACAGATTAGGGAGGCTAAGTTGTTGGAGGAGAGATTAGCGAAGGGAGAACTTTTGGAGGAAAATCAGGTTCGTAGCACTGCAATTATAATTGTAAGTTACCAATTTTTACTTTCTAATAGTTCTCAAACATCGATCTTTTATCTTTCTTTGATCATTTCGAAAAGTCGAATTTAGGTGCATTGCCAAAATTATGTGCTACCTTCATGTTATTTAAGCAATCTTTGATTTGTTTGACAAGCTGTTTAACAATCGTTGGTACTGTTTCAGGTGTCCAAGCTAGCAAAGTTAGCATCAATGCAAAATGAGCTGAACGAAATCTGTAAGCAACTACAAAATAATATCTGAAAAGAAAGATCTAGTGCAGTGTTCAAACTTTAGGGGTACATTTAGTTTAAAGTACTTTGAAACACAAATACTGATTGATCTTCAAACTAAACTCTTATCTATACTTGAATGATTTAAAAAATTTATTATTTATCAAAATTTGTAAAATTATTTGATTAAAAAAAGTACGGGTATCGGCCTTACAAAATGACACGAAAAAGGAGATGGCTCTGAAATGCACAAAAATGAGTTTTGTTCTTGTTTTATTATCCAGATAGGTAGTTCAACAGGTATATTTTTCTTCCCGGGGGTTGATTTGATTGAAAAACCGTAAATTTTGCGATAAAAATTGTCATCTTTGAAATCTTCCAAAAAAACATGCCTTACAAAATGACAATTTCGTCACGGCTGTCATTTTTTAACAGCAGCCTATAGAAATTTGATTTCACCTAGGACAGTTAGATAAATATAATAGATTGAAGATTAGAATAGCTTTTACAGGAAAAAGGATGATTAAAAAAAGTTTGGCAATTTCGCGTGAGATAGTGCCTTACAAAATGACAACCCAAAACGGCATCACTTCAAATCCGATTTGGGAAAAAGTTTCATTATTCTTTCACGTGTCTTACTGTTAGATATATATGGACGTGTTCAAACCTGGTTGGTGGTTTTGTTTCATTTTTCCCACTCATTACTTCTGGGCCCCCAGATTGAAATCTGTAACATTTTAAGAAAAACTGAAACTACTGACAAAAACTAGACCCTTTGACTGAGGGCACCCTTGAATCAGAATTTTTGTAACATATTCAGGTCCTGAGATATAGCAGTTTAGTTGGGGGCCCTGGATATTGAATTTTGTAACACATTTCTATGTTACACTTTTTCAATGGGTTTTTAGAGAAGCTTCTTGATAGTTTTTCAAGTTCAGACCAGTTTTTCTAGGTCACAAAGGGTTCCATCAACCATATTCTTGACCAAATTTTGTACTTGGGCCCAAAACATTGAATTCTGTAACATATTTATGTTTTCACTGCCAAGGTCATATCTGGAATATTCAATGTATTTTTGTATTGGTAACATGGTTTTTAGATTCTCATACAAAATTCTGAAGCAATCCTTATTCATATAATTTGATAAAATGGCTGCGGAACTTGAATTATGTAACATTAGAAAGTAAGTGTATAGAGTATGTACCCTAGTGTGAGGGGTGTTAGGTAAGCTATATTATAGTTTTTGAAGTTCAGACCAGTTTTTCCAGGTCACAAAGGATTCCATCAACCATATTCTTGATCAAATTTTGTACTTGGGCCCAAAACATTGAATTTTGTAACATATTTATGTTTTGACTACAAAGCTCATTATATCTGGAATGTTCAATATATTCTTGTACTGGTAACATGGTTTTTAGATCTCATACAGAATTGTAAAGCAATCCTTATTCGTATAATTTGATAAAATGGCTGCGGAACTTGAATAATGTAACATTAGAAAGTAAATGTATAGAGTATAGTATATAGTATGTATCCTAGTGTGAGGGGTGTTAGGCAAGCTATATTATATTTTTTGAAGTTCAGACCAGTTTGCCTAGGTCATAAGGGTTCCATCAACCATATTATTGACCATATTTTGTACTTGGGCCCAAAACATTGAATTTTGTAAGTCCATAGATGGACATGGAATTCTGCCATTTCAGTGGATAAACTCGTGACCTGGCATTTTATTGTTACAAATTTCAATATATAGGGCCCAATTTCTATTTTCTATAAAATTTGATATATAAATTAAAAGTTTTTAAATATCCAACCTTTAATCTAATTAGCTATATTCATTTGATTAAATTTACCGCGTTCTGTCGCGGATTGTCAATTTAAATTACATTACATTTAAATTGTTACAAAATTCAATAATTTGGTCCCAATTATCATTTTTTTAATTTGTTAAGTTGTTTCATGTCTTTATTTTAATGCATCAACCAACTTAAAACCAATACTAGATCAAACAACACTGTATAACATACTCTTTTGTAACCATGTTACGTTATTCAAAGAAATGGGCCTTTTATTGATTATGAACCATATACCAATATTGTGGTAATGCATTTATACAAGAATTGCTGCACTAATAACATGGTTTGAGGGTTAAATACATATCCTACACTAGCTGTGGTTGTAACAAACTATAAAGATAGATTCATGAAAACAAGATGTTACAAAATGTCCATTTTGGGCCTTTTTATGTAATCAAAAGTGGGCCTTTTTTCATTCCACAGCTAAGCAAATACCTAAAGTACATTTTTGTGAAGCAATAATCTTTAAAATTTAATAATTGGCTGAGCCATTGAAAAGTGTAACCAAATGTTACATTTTTCAACATAACTGGGCCATTTTACAATATTATTCATAGCCGATGACCTGAGACTATTATTTATCACAATTATAGTCATCTCTGAAAGTTTCAAGACCATCGAGTAATTATTAAGGGAGTTATTGTAAAAATGAGAAAATCGCCCATTTTGGCAGTGAAACAAAACCACCAACCAGGTTTGAACATGTCCATATGTTGTTTATATTATACCAGTTCTGTTTTTACTAGAATATATCAAAAAAGGAACATTTTTTATACTTTGAAAAATTTTTTTAAATGTCATTTTGTGAGGCGTAAAAATCATTTTTTGTTTTCATACTTGAACACAGTATTTGGTTATATTTGATATTTTCTATGACTGGATAGATCACTTTTCAGTGTTTAGTTAACGTTTGACATGTTTTAGGAGTTGTTATTACTCTCTGCTTTCACAAAATAGAAGCTTTATTTCGTTGAGTTTTGAAATCAGAATTTGAAATCAAAGAGTTTGAAATCAAAGTTTTGATATCAGAACTGCACTTTTTTAATGCTACTTGATTGTTAACTGTCAGATTATGATTATTTGTAACCCCTTCTTGTATTGACTGTTTCTGATCCATTTTAGATAATGAAAGTAATTCAATCTGAAACATTGACATTTTGTAAGGCTTTTCGGTGTCATTTTGTGAGGCATTTTGATCACAATTGATGATCAAACAAACACATTTAGGCTCATCATAAGCTTACTGGGTTTAAGAATACCAATAATTAGGCAAGGGGCATCCAATATAAATATGCCATCTTTGTATCATAAAATAAAACTGTCATTTTGTGAGGCATAACACTGTCATTTTGTGAGGCTAGGTCATTTTTTTGTCATTTCTTCTACCAAAGTCACTAAATCAGTTTTTTATTTGACCAGAGTAGTCTTTGATTGACATAAGTTATGGTAGTACCTGGTTTTCTGGGGTTAAATTCTAAACTTTGGTCTCCATGCTGGGTAACAGTTTGACGGGGCAATGACTGAACAGCAAAAACGTCCATATTTATGTAAGAAATATAGATTCTATGTCATTATCATTCCTTGGGAAGTGTTAATTAATGCTTTTTCTTTCATACAGTAAAAGGAATAGGGTTCAATGTATAGGGAACCTAAGCTACAGCATGGTCTATGTGGGCTGTCATTTTGTGAGGCCTGTCATTTTGTAAGGCCGATACCTGTACTTTAAAAGTGGATTTTTATATAATCACATCAGCTTTGATTGTAAAAGCTTTTTATTACTGCCATTCATTTATTCAGTAGTGATCCATTGTAGATTCAAAATATTAATAAATCTGCTGCGATTAAAATAATTGCTGTTAGATTTGTGTTAAATGATATAATGACGTGAAAAAGTTGTTCCGAAATAAGACTCCACTTTGGGGTTATACATCCGGATCCCGAGGGCACTGTCGTGGTTCTATTATGGAATGGTAATCTGATCCGTTTTTCGATATTTTTTGTGCAGTTTTCCAGACATCATTTGTATTTTGATTCAATATCTTAAGGGGGCCGGGGGGGGGGGGGGGGGGGGGGTCAAAATTCTCTCGAAATCGATTGTATAGTTGTTTCTGATAGAGGGAGTGATATCTATCAGCTGCTTTTGGTCCCATGGAAAAATATTGTTCCTAGAGCCGAAATTATCGCCGGTCAAAGGTCAGCACTTATGTGTTATTGTATTGTGAGTATAACTTTATCTTTAAATTGATTGTTGTTTGTTTGGGGACTGGTTTGTAAGCCAGCCAATGTTTACGAATATAATATTAATAACTTTATTACATAATCATAAATATATATCATAAATAGATCAAATCTGAAACACAAATTTGCACGCAGTTAATAAATTTATAAAAAAAGAAAATGAAAAAAAAAGGTTTATTGCTAAAACAAAATATGGAGCACCCTGTGCTTCCAACAGCCCTTCAGACTCGCGCTAAGTTTGTTAGGGACTGATTTAGGATATCGTAGATATTGCTATGCCATGCCATTAGTTTGGATATGTAGTGTTTGTGATTGTTGAAATCAATTAATTACGGTTTGTGCTGATAGGAAAATAGTGATAGTGGGGAATGTGGCAGTGTAAATATAATGGACCTGGAATTTAGGATGTGTGGCTTATCCATTAATATTAGTTGCCGCTAGTCTGTGATCAGTTTGTTCTGGTTTTTTTGTGTGCAAATATATATTCATAGTTTATTTTTGTAATATCATATAATATATAGTACTTAATAATAACCATATGACTAATAACTGATTTACTAATTAACTAATTAACTAATTCACTAAACTGATATAATGACCGTTGTGTCCAGTAACTTTCAGACACGTTGTGACCTTCTTAGACCTGGAATATTATGTAATAAGAAACTGGGCCACGTGTCATCGTCATTTTCACTCTGCAGGTTCAAGAGCATGCGTTTTGTAGCCGATTTAAAAAGGTTTATGGAAAAAAGTGTGGGTAGGGTGCTTACATTTGCATTTACAGCATAAATTGAGAGTAAAGGTCCTTTGAAGAACATCGAAGATCTGAAATGTGTGGTGTTGTACTCGGCTAACCAGGATGCTGCAGTCACGTGATCTGAGTTTGCAGTGGGTGCATTTTCTGGGATAGTCATACAGATTTGTTGAGGGACTGAGCTGCGGAAATGTTTGATTCGGTGCATGAGAATTAGTGTGTTTTTTACAATAACACTGTGCACCGTGAGTATACCATTGTTATTGAAAAATTGTTTTGTGTGTTCTGGCAGTCGACCGTCTTTGTAAAAGTAATTAATGTGACCTGGCATTACTGCCCTGATACCCTGTTTTTGTCGTGAGAAGAGTGATTCAATGTGATTTTTTGCTGCAAACCCCCATACAATTGAACAGAAGTTTAAATGCGATTGAACAAAACTTTGATATATCTGTAGCCTTATTTGAATCGATAGGTGACGTTTTATTTTATACATAATTCCTACATACCGCATCATTTTTGATCTAACAGCTGCTATATATGCTTAGACCATGTTAGTTTATCATCCATTATAACGCCAAGGAACCGTGCTTCCCTTTTACGTTCTAATTGTGTGTCTGCAATATGAATATTTGGAGTATTATCAGTATTTCTAACACCGAAAAGCATATAGCAGGTCTTTTTTAGATTAAGTGCAAGTCCATTACAGTCAACCCAGCGTACAAACTCGTGGGAGAATTGGTTGAATTTGTGTATAACATCGTTTGCATTTTTGCCTTTTATTATGATGTTCGCATCATCAGCGTAGAGTATAAACTTTATCATACTGTTGATATTTGGCATATCATTGATGTAGATTAGGAATAACAAAGGTCCCATAATACTGCCCTGTGGAACTCCGTATGTAATAGGTTTAAGAGCTGATTTAATACCATTCAAACATACATATTGCTGACGTGTGCTCAGGTAGGATTTAAACCATTGCAAAGCTTGCCCACGGATTCCATAGTGCTGGAGTTTGTCAATCAATACATCATGAGACAAAACGTCAAAAGCTTTACTAAAGTCGACTAGGAGTAATAGAGCAACTTCCTTTTTGGCAAGGGAATTCAGAATCGTGTGTTGAGCATCCAAAAGAGCATGCTCACAGGATCGGCCTGGCCGGAAGCCATATTGCCCTTCAAAGAGCGAGCCTTTCTTGTCAAGGAAGTCCATTACTCTATTATGCATAAGTTTTTCATACAATTTGGAAAAGGTGCACAGCAAAGATATGGGTCGATAGTTAGTGGCGTCGGATTTTCTGCCTCCTTTGTGAATTGGTATAACTTTAGCTATTTTGAGAGATGATGGGAAGATACCTTGACTAAATGATGTGTTAATGATTATGGACAAGACTTTACAGAAGGAGGGGCAGTCTTTTACAATTTTTAGGGGTTCAATTTTAGTGTCTTGAGTGGATTTATTCTTAAGCTTGCTAATAATTTGTTCAACTTCACTTTCGGTAGTTGGTCTTACGAACATAGACTGCGAAGCTGGGCTGCTAAGGTAATGTTTAAAACCCCCTGGATCGAATACAGTACGCGCGCTGATCGCATCTTTGATTTTTGTGGCAATGTTGGAGAAGTAAGAGTTAAAGTGCTCAGCTACATCACTGTCACTATTTATGATATTTCCGTCGGCGTTTTGGAGTTTAATTTTGTTATGAGATTTAGATTTTCTGCCAAGTAGAGTGTTGATCAGCTGCCATTGTTTCTTTGAACAATCTTTATACTTATCAAATTGTGTTTTGTAGTATTTGTCTTTTGCCTTATTGACGTGCTTGTCGCAGAATGCCTTATGCTTTTTGTAAGCCTTGTAGTTTTCCTCCGTTGGGTCCACTATTTTGGCATGGAATAATTTGTTTTTACGAGCACATGCAATTTCAAGCCAGGGTAGCATAAAAGGTTTGGGGTCCTGCCTTTCAAATTTGCGGCGCACATGATTGGTTTTCACTGGGTATGCCTCATCATAATGCTGACCGTATATTTCAATAAATTTGTTATATTGTTCATCAGCACAATTTTCACGTGTGACTTCCTCCCACATTTCGGATCCAATTAATTCTATAAATTTAAGGTTGTTCGACTCGTTAAACATACGTTTTTCAATATTCATTCCATGGTCGACTCTGTGTCGTTTGTTTCTACTCCCTGCAATGTGGCTGTATTGCCCAAGTGAGATAGTAACAAGAGTGGCTAGATGATCAGACAGGTCAACAGTAAGAACATTGCAGCTGTGTGTGTGTTGTACGTTATTGCTGTAAACATGATCTATAAGAGTGGCACTGTGATCAGTGATACGTGTGGGACGTGAGACTAGCTGAAAGAAACCGTATTTAGTCATAGTTTCAATCAAATTTTGACTATGTTTGTCAGTATCATAATGTGTAAGATCTACATTGAAATCACCGACTAATATAGTATGTTTTCTCGAGTGCCTTTCCATGCCGTGTAATAGGGAGTCAATGAGTTTGTTAAAATTATCAGGATTTTTTGATGCTGGTGACCGATATATATTGACGATTATCTTTGTTTTGTTAAAGCCTTTGCAGTTATGGAGTTTTACCAACATGAATTCACCACTCTTGTCTGTCACATCAAAGTTTTGGGGAAAGAATTTTTCAATATTTTCAGACTCGCATACGCGCGTATTGATATAAATTGCTAAACCCCCACCACGACCAGAACTACGTATTGGATCTCGTAACAGTGGTTCATAAAATCCCTCAAGCACTAGGTCATTAATACCATTAGGAAGCTTATCCTGCAAGAGATTAGTCTCGTTAAAACAAAGGACATCATACTTCGAGTACGTGAATATATCTTCTCTTAATTTGTCTACGTTTTTAAGAAGTCCCCGTATGTTTAAGGTAAATATCTTAAGATCACATGGTCCTGACGAACTTACATTTGTCGGCTCCATGTAATTGCAGCTAACTAAAATATCAGAAATCTCATTCCAATATTCGAGTTCCTGATCTTGGTCAATTGAATTTCCTATTTCGTTAATCAACTGATAGCGATCGTAGGGATTGTGGATTACGTCGGCGTGAGTATGTGTATGTAATGAGTATAGCTGATAGCAATGTACATAGTATCCCGGGATCATATTTTCACAGCAATTTCTGCATCCTAATAAGTCGGAGTGACATTTGGTATGTACTTTAGATTCGCACCAGTGGCAGGTTTTCAGGTTGGCGGGGGAGTAAATCCAGCCATTGCAGCATGTGCATTGGACTTTAAATTTAGGACCTATGACGGGCCCTTGTCTCGGTGGCTTTGCCGAGGGGCATGCATTTACTGGTAAGGCGCTGGAAATACAGTCATAACATATCCAGGCAGAGCCAGAATCTACAATTATTTTTGCCTCAGACTTAGATAACTTCATGCATTTCATATGTTTTATTTTGTCGCAGTGACTGCGAAATTAGGAACGAACGTGATTTAGGAATACGTGTATTACATTTGTTGCAACGCTGAGATTCGTTCATAGAACTATGAGATAATGTATTATATTCGTTAGTATTATAGTTATATTATGATATATTTAAGAGAGTATAGACTTACTATTAATACAAAATATGATAATAATAACGTGACCTAGTCAGATACTTCTAACGAAGACTTTCAGTCCTGTGTGTAGAAAGTACCGTGACTTATCTACAGTAATTGAGTAAACTTCACCTTTACCTTTATGATTGACCTTTAACTTCTCTTCTATTACTTGATGGCAGCAGCTCACCGTGCATGAGCCTAATTTCCATATGTACAGTAATGTATGTGTCGAATGTTCAGAGTCAAATGTACAGAGTCAAATGTACAGATCAGTCAAATGTACAGTAATGTGTGATGTATGTATAATGAGTACTGTGTACCCTGTGTAAATATCTGTGTAGATATCGTGTAAATATTGCGTCGTCGTTGTCTGAGTACGGCATGAGGTTAGGAATTAGATAATATGAAATGATTGTTATGATGTAGGGACGTGGACTATTATCAAGCAGGGTTTATTTCGCGTTTTGCTGATAAGGTGTGATAGATAAGGTGAGAAGGTAGGGAATCTGGATAAGGGAAAAGTTCGTTTAAGTAGTTGGTTGTATTATGTGCTTTGTGCTTGAGTTTGAATTTGATTTGAAAAAATATTGTAAGAGTTTGTTCAAATAAGTTACGTTTGTTTGATTAGTGAAATTGTTTGCGACTCAGCGCGAGTCTGGAAAGTTGTTCAGGATTCGATATTTTTGTCATGATAATTTGACATTAAGATATAAAATACGTCGTGCTCAGGTGCCAAAGTGGCCAGGGATTGGATAAGATATCATACGTTTAAAGTGCTCACGTAGAGGTAGGGGTCCTCGCCTGAACCCCAGTCCAATGAGCACACAGTTTACCCAGCAATCTGATAATACACTCTGTCCAATATAGTTAAGATGTAGACCGTCACGAGCGAGGTGAGCGAGACTAAAACTTGAGTTGTCGAAGAGTCTGAAGTTGTCATGGTGAAGGGAGCACTTAAACATGAGTTCATTAAGGTACTGGATAATGTCGTTGTGGGTGTTGAATCGGTCAGCATGTATCGATAGTGGACTGACTGCATCGAATAAGAACATAGTGCGCGGGAACTGTTCTATGAAACTTCTGATGTGATCATGCAGCAGGACGGCACTCGCTCTGTTTTTCTGGATATCGTTTATGCCAGCACTTATGAGTACAATGTCGGCTTGTTGAATCGATTCCCGGTGTTCCTTTAAGTCGCGGAGGAAAAATAAGTTTTCCCGGAACGCTATGACAGGTGAACGAAATTGAGAACAGTCAAAATTACAGTTTTTGCTGTCAGACAGTATCAGCACTCGTTTGGTCTGGTTCACTTTATGATGGGGTAGAGGTCGCAGCTGATGGCTGCTAGATTTTCTGGAATGTGCCGAGGCCAACTGTCTAAAGGTTAAGCTGATTCGAGGACCTTCAAAATCCGCCTGAGTTTGCGGAGGAACAGCATGGTCAAAAAGGTCCTGCGATTTTCGCGTCATAGTGTAACAGTCGCCGTGTTGAACTGTCACGGTTTCATCGCGATACTCGCCTGGAGGACGTCTACGAAAAACTAAATCCCTTTTACCCCCCAGGGAAATGGTAAGTATAGTAAGATTGTATTTAATAAAGTGTTTAAACCTTAATTATTGTTAATAATGGTAATTTTTTATAAATTTGAGATTCTTTTGTTTTGCCACAATATCAACTTCTATTATAAAATCAAGTTGATTTAATTGATAAAATTTTAAGAGTTTATGACTGAATATGCAATAAATTTACATAATCTTATTTTAACGATAAAAATAGAATCGATTCTAAAAATACTTGTGTTATTTCACATGCATGCTATAGAGCACGATTTGTATTTCTATTCTAATCCATCAATATAATATAATGATTTGCAACATATTTTGTAATAATAAAACTTACATTTCTTCATAGCATCATGAATGTAACAGCACAATGAGTTAGATCACGTGTAATGAGCTGTCACGTGCCCGACCTGCTATCTGACGATGACATTGACTCCAGCAGTGCTTCAGAGGACTCCTACTCTGACTCCGGCTCTAGTGATGACAATGACTGGCCAGTTGGACTCAGAGATGTTGTCGGGGTGAGACCTACTTCTAAAGACTATGATAAGGTATACTTTTAAAGTGTATGATTTTGTTAATGAGTTATCAGACTTATCTCGCTTAACGTACCAAACCTCAAGCAATTGTAAATCAGTTTCCCAATATAATATGACACCATACATTGCATTAGGTGGCTAAATATGTATAAGTGGATTTACCCAAATTGTACAAAAGATTGTTTTGTCAATGTCTGCAATTTATCGTAACTAAACAATAAACAATGCTCCCTCCCCAGAACGGAATGTTCAAGACAACAAGCGACTACTTCACCACATCAGACGAAGACATGCGGGAAGTGATGAGTGTGACAGAAACAGAGCCTCTGGCTGGAGACTACATCAGTAACGGGCATCTTTTTGAGAAGGAGGCTAACAAGGAGAATATCGGAGCTGCTGCTGCTAAGAATGGGGGTGGTACGTTTTTTAGATCAGGGAGATTTGTAGATTTTTATAATAGCCACTGAAATTGTTAATATCTTTCAGAGTCTTGATGCTGGATTTAATGGTGTTTTGAACTATAAACAGTTAAAAGAGCATTTCCCCACCTTCATCGTTATCCTTAAGTCGTATTTTTGTACTTTTTATTGCCCTACGCGTACGGTAATTTATTTATTTATAGAGGTTCCAAGAAGAATTTTGAAAGCGTCACGGCTGTCCACTGTCCAGCATGGTAATTGCCCGTTAATAAACACATAACAACGCCGGATAACCGCGGCCATTTCCTTACCCCAATCGAATGCTTTTAAATAATACATTGTAAACACAATGAAAATCTTGATCTACGGCGAACCTAAATTATTTTTCCTTTCCCCAAACTTCGCGGTAAATCGGGGTTTTATTGAACAATTATATCCAACTACTGCCAAATACTATTTAAAACACTTTACCCCAGCCAAGAAGCCAGCACCCTCACCCCCTACACAGTCTACTCGCAAGAAACCCCTAGTGATGGATGTTCCTCCTTACAACAGGGACCCGGCAACCCAGGCTCGCAATATCAGGAACTTTTACAGGAATCTTCTGGAAAATTACACTGATTACGCTTTGGTTGACGTATCCGATAAGGTTTGCTATATTGAACAAATTCACTTTAGTTGAGCAATATTCATGTCAATAATAATTATTATATCAATTATATATTAAAATGTTTGTCTATAATTTAAATTATTCAATATATTTTAATGGTATGATAAATTACATGATAAAGACACGTACTAAACAATTATTTATAAAATTCTCCATATTGCACGAGTTTCAAGCTGTACAGACTACAGGCTACACGTTATGTAACTGCTTCTTATTTGTACATGATCTGATGATCTGGCACTTGGCAGTCTACTGTACAAACAGTAGTTGTACGACAACTAACTATTTCTTATGACAGTTGTTTAACTGTGTATGCTCGTGTTCAGTTTGAAGTACAATGTCAATAACTACTATTGTATTTATGTATCATTATAGTGTATGACTGTCCCAATAAGTCGGCGTTACATTCCCACGAAAATGAGAACTTGCAACAAAAAGATTGCTCGCTTAAGCAGATTTCAAATCTTGCTATTCCTGATCCCCTGATATTGGTTTTAATAAAACAAATATTAATAAAATAAATATTCATGGTGGAGAGAGATATCTATTATATTATATATATATTATATATATTGGTTTCCCCCGATCCCTCGTAATAACGATGATTCTCAGTGCCAAGAGTTCACCCTCAAGACACGCAGTGAAGTAGAAGTGGCAGTGAATGTGTTCTATGACAAGGCAGTTACGGATGTGTGCCACGCCAAGCCTTTAGCTTCTCTCTGCATGGTTCGGTTTATTTCATATATTAAATAAATAAATAAATAAATATTGGTATATGTTGTCGGTGCACGTAATGATGGCTCAAATCTATTTTCTGCATGGATAATGGATATATAATATGCAAAAAAAGTTGTTTTTATCCAATTGATCCTTCTCGTTTCAAATTTTACGCTTTGATTTGGCTTTTGATATCGTGATTTTTCCTAATGCGAGTTATCACTAGCTCTTGTTGCAACATGACACCAAAAATTGTACAGAGTATGGAAGTACACAAGATACACGAAATAATCCTGTTTAGAGAAACGATGCTATCGTTCTGTCAGAAGAAGTTTCTCTAGATAAAGGGAGATGTGAATGTAATTGAGGAAGTGTCTGCTGGAAAGTTTACTGATTGCGAGGGTAAGTTCTTATCATTTCACCGTGGTTAATTGATCTGCTTACTGTTGGGAGGTGAACTATATTTTTCCTTAAATTTGAGAATGATTGGCCAATTTTCTGTCAGCTTTGTCGCATTGAAACCTGTTATCATTTTCACGTGTTTCAACAAATAATATACAACTTCTTGACAAAGGTTTTAATAATTATTTGTAATACAAATCTATAGAATATTTATAAAAGTTATGATCGTAAAAACTTATAGAATTTACAAAACTTAGCTTTAAAAACCAGAATATGAGCTACATCGGAAATATTTCTAAAAGATACAAAATTTGCTCTTGTTTTTAAGGACAGATACATTCTGGACGATACATTCTGTCCTGTTTTTAATCATATTAATCCTTCAACTTTTCAATCAGCTCGTCTACAGAGGGTATAGAATGTTTATCAACTAATTTATCCACTGAAGGTCAATCCCCCTTGCCCTCACTGGAGGCCCTAGTGTTCATTTGAATGTCTGATAAGGTAGTTAAATTAAATATCGGCCTTCAAGTGTTCATTTTAATGTTCATTCAAAATTATGTCCGTTCACGCAATGTCCTGTCAAATAACGTCTGATGTCTAAGATGTTGTCTACAGTACAGGCTAATCTAACTTTCTTCAGTCCTACGATTTTCCATATTGAAAATAGTGTCCCGAATTGTAACAAGAATTCTAAGAATTCCAACGATTTGGCATGTTGGAAACCTCACAATCACTCCCTTTCAGCTCTATCCCAAACTCATCTTTGGCCACTTTTTTAGCCCACTTACAAGCCTCTATAGAAATAAAGCCAGTATTTCTTCCGATTTTACGTTTACTGAAAACAGAATTTTCTTGAGAATCTTTCTCCATGGCAGTAAGAGCAGCTGCAACATAGTCCTGTTTGATTCCTATCTCATGTAGCAGACTTTTACAAAATCCTTCCCTATCGTGTACAAGTGACTCATAGCTGTATGACTTAATGCTTTTCCTTTCATGGGATTCCAGATAAAATGTATGCATTTGACAAAGTAGGACAAAAAACCATGTCTCGATAGCGCTTAAATTAGCAACACCAATTTTATCAAAAATATGTTTATATTTGATCGAACTGTATCTTTTTGTTGCCAAAGGTACAGTTTGCATGAGAACCTGTCCAAACAGTCGATGCCATGAGGAGAGTGTCGGCTTTAACGACCTGTACAGAAACAATTCTTTTACTCCTGGAAGAGTCCTGTGGACTAAGTGAACAAGGTTTCCTGTATAAGCTCCAGTTGGTTTGATAAAGTAGATTTTGTTTGGATCCTTGCAAAGAAGAAGCAAGATTGCTTTTAGAAAATTTAGATTATCTTTACAGTCTAGAGGACGGTCATTTGATGCAATGTTAGTTATGGTCGAAAATATCAATAACGGAAATGGTTCTGCTAGAACTTGGCACTGTTTGGTCTTGTAAACCATAGATGCAACCAGAGTTGAGCCGCACCTGCCAATATTGTGTAATATAGTGATGTTGCTGCCATTCCTTTCTGGTTTTCTCATAAGGTACCTGTAAACTGATTCATGTGGTATGATAAGCACCTGTGCTGCATGGTCATGGGAACTAAAAAAGGTGAAAGGATGCTTATCGATATCATAGAGATCGACTCCAGGCATCATTCTCACAAAAACAAACTCTTGAAGCGAAACAGTATACAAGTGAACATTTTCCTGCTCGATCACGCTTATGTCAACTTTTCTGTTAAACTTGAGGAGGAACCAGTGAAGTCCGTTGTACCACAAGACATTTAATCTGAGGTTCATGAAAACATCATAACAATCAGCCAGATCATTACCACGACATTTCTTCCAGGGTCCAAATACCAAGTTCAGAGCGTATTGAAGGGCAGGCTGTATGCAGTAACGAATCAGAGGATTCAGCAATACTAAAATCACATCCCGCAAAACTTTCAACATCATTTTTATTTCTTCTCCTTTGTGTCTGGCTGCAGAAGAAGCATTAGTGTCTTGTTTAAACGGTCTTAAATAATAATAATAATAAATTGAGATTTAATAACACCGCTTTAAAGATAAAACCCAGGGGTACAGGAAACGGGGGCCGGGGGGGGGGGGGGGGGGGGGGGGTATCGCCCCCATAAAATCTGGGCAAGGTGCCAAAAAAGGCCGACTTTTAATTTAGGTTTCTAAAAATTTTGGGGAAAAAAACTTACATATTTCAATTGATCCTGTTGTGTGATCCTGTTATGTGACTCGGATCGACATATTTTTTCAAAGTTTTTCTGGAAACTACTTTGTCGAAACTCGAATGTTTATGAAAATTCATATACGAGTTCAGGGTACCACTAACTACAAGTAGAGCACCTAAAATCTGGGTTTTGAGCATGTTAAGATGATTTGGCATAATTGGGCATAATTTGGACCAAAAATGGGCGTGGCTCTCCCGCGGGCACCGTTGGGAACCCGGACTCCGGAACCCCCTCAAAAGTTCGGTCACAGGCCCTAGTTTGTTGGTAAATTGCTATCTCGAAATCACATTTCACAAGAAAATTAGGGTGAACCCCCCTTAAGGGGGCATACCCCAAAACAGTGGTTTGTGCCGTCCAGACCAAATGACCTCATAACACACCAGCCTTTTTAGATATGATATCAAGATTTTACACACACCTTGACATAGATGCGTATAAACGGCGAGCAAAATTTCAACCCGATACCGCAAGAAATGATTAACTTATAGCGTCTCAACCACAAAATAATTTTTTCCGAAAATTGCACTCTTAACCAGGAAATGCTCGATTACAAAAATGGGAATTCTCAAAATAATTTTTTTTTGTGTGGAAACGGTGCGCTAGAAGGTCACTGAACTGCCTATGAGGTCATTTGGTCTGGACAGATTTCGGGTATGCCCCCTTAAGAAGGGTAACGTATGCTTGAAGATATGTTTTGTTAAAGATTGGGTTAGAGTTAGGGTTAGGGTTGGGATCAGATTAGAGGGCTAGGATTTAAAGGGCAAGCTATTTAGAGAACGTGTTTAAAAAGTCACGTGACAGTTGAGTGATAATTGATTATTGATTAATCATCATCCTAGCTTGCACTTTGCCAAGCACCTTTCAAACTACTTACTTAAGCTAAATATCTAATCGATTTTTTTCTAATTTTGTATCACTATCACTATCAGAGCGAAGTTGGGTAGAATTTAAATTTAAAAATTGTCGCATTGATATAATACATATTATCATAGATATAAAGGGTAAAAATAAAAATTCATATTACGTAATCAACAAGATGATCATAATTAATCAATCTACACTCGAATTTCACTGATCACGTGACTTATTTAAACACGACGGAAAATTCAAATTCAAAACTCTAACATCTAACGGCTAACCCTCGCTCTAATCTGACCACAGGTTTGAGCGATGGAATTCCAATTCTATGTCACAATCAAAATTGATTTGACATCGGTTTAAAAAAATCAATTTTAAAACGGCATGGCGGGTTTGACTTTGAGCCATGAAATTCCAATTCAATTTCAATATTAGAGTAGAAAACGATTTGGCATCGGGTTTTTTTTCGAATCAATTTTTAAACGATGGGGGTCTGAGCCACCATACACCACACAAAACTACACAACGACACAATATCACACAAACAAATACAATCACAACATCGATATTCACTCAATAAACTGTAACTAGACATATTATCATACTGATAAGTGATAAGCCCAAGATAAGGGCACTTTATTGTAACGTCTGATTTAGCCTATATTTTTAACAAATAACCGATTTTACTTTACAATTTAGATCTCGTTGATAAGACTCAGATCACGATTCTGTAGCATACAGGACCTCCGGTTCTCGTGAAAAAATCTGATAATTTGCACTAGATATATTTTACGTTATAGATAGATTATACATTTTTATTTTCTAATGCCTCCACAAGCATAAGAATTAATTCAAGATGGCAGCGAATGAAAATGTAACTGATAATTCTGGTCATAAAATCAAAATAAAATGTGGTAGCTGTAGCGGCTGGTGTTATTCTTGTAAAAACATCCGCAAGTGCTCATGGTGCAAAAACAACGTCCACGTCAAAACACAAATGTCTTAAGGATATTTTAGGTTGTACAAGCTGTTGTGAAAGTCTTATACACTCGTTTTAAAGCTAACTGTTTTACTGCGTCTCTGCTGATGTTATCGACACCTGTCAGTCGCATCCTCGAGTACAAAGGTTACTTGGGTCAGATCTCGTGTCTTCTGATCCTTTGTGAGGGCCTGCCATGGTTCAGATCCCGAGCCTTGGGTCGGATCTCGATGCTTGAGGAGCAGTGGATCGTATCTTTATCAGCACGCTTCGTGAACACGTAAGCTTGTTAGATCAGATCTCGCCATCGAAAGGCACCTGAGACCTTGTAATCTATTAGTAGGCTTGTTATACAGCTCGGATCAATACAATATTTAAAGGAAGAGAGATGGTGGTCACAGTATCAATTCATGATTGCCTTCAGCAAGTACATCAGCGGACAAAGAGGAGCTCAACTACTTTTGGACACAGACAGTTTCCTCTACACCCGGAGAAAGGATCGAGATACCCCTACTACCTCTACCTGGAGATGCCAGAAGTACAGAATCAAGAAATGTCATGTAATCCTTGACCATGGAGATCAGTCCTTGGCCAGCGGTGCCAAACCTCATTCCCACGACAACTTAGTAGCTGAGAAGCAGAGTTCAGAGCAGAATTAAAGCGGGAAGCTGCCGACCAAAACCTCTCAGCAACACAAAACCTCCTCACCGAAGCCCTATATCTACATGCCCACCCGAAATCAACGTGGAACTACCAAAACTAGAGTCCCTCGCGAGAATTAAGTTTGACAGTTTTGATACAGTTTTGGATTATCTTTTTGCCATCGCTAAGTGTTACGATGTTGCTGCTTAAGCAGAAATATTATGATGACTTTGTGTGAGATTTTAAGTAGTAATTATTTTATATTACAATTACCTATT